TTTCAAGATTTGTTCATCTACATTTAGCCTAAACTAAACATGTAAGTTGATGGAAATTTTGTCACATTTCAGCTCACTTTCATCAATATTTTAACTTGAACTCATAGAGTAATTCGTAGACCATTACACATGTTTTGGGGTGCATTCTTCGTAGATTCGTTAAGCAAAGAGATTGTTACTTAAATCAGATCCATTCCATCTTTTATGAGCATCACGATTTACATAGGTTTATGCACGTAAAATAACAACCACAATGTTACACATTTTTGAGCCTCAAGCCGAGACTATAGTCATAGTCACATTCTTGCACAAACATGCACATAGAAGAGAAAACACATAGGTTGTCATTCATACTATTTCAAATACACAAACATAAACATATTAATCACGAAAACATAACATACACCTAAACCTACAAGAAATCATACCCAACATAAGAACAATTGGGAGCTTGTGACAGGGACATGGAACAGGGAACAACCCTAGTTTTCAGACTGAATAATCTGAACCTTAAGGGCTCTCTTGGGAAAGGGACCAAGAGAGAAGAGAACGCATAACTTTTTGACGTTAAATCCTTGAATTTCTGTCCAAAAAAATTCACCCAAGATCACGTCCAAGTCCACTCAATGTCAACACCGCTCGACGGACAACCTCCCTTTGCCTAACGTGTGATTAACATTTGTTTTCTTGTGATGTCGTGTGAGTTCTTCAAGTGTTAAGAACTTGGTTTACTTTTATGTTCTTGAAAGTTACATTGGAAGAGAGAGATCATGAAATAAAGTGATAGAGACGTGAGAGACAAAGATGGGCGTGGGAGAGAAGAGTTTTCTTAGGCTTAGAAGACTAGTTTAGGACTTAGTCAAATAAGGTGTTATTTAATGATTGAAAATATGGTTTCCTTTTATTTGATATCAGCTAATAAATAAAAGATCTAAATAAAAACATAAATTAAAAACAAATTTAATTCATTGCTTCTACCTAGGTTCGAACTCGGGTGAAGCAAGAGTTCACTTCTTGGGCCAATTCTCGGCCCTTTCTTCCAAAATACCCCTCTACCTTATTAATTAAATAATTAAATATATATGTAGGGTAATTACATTACTACCCTTACCCTAGAAAAGACCATTTTATCCCTACAAGCTCTAAACCTGAGATTTTCCCTTTTCAAGACTGGTAAAGACTCATTCGAGTAAATCTTCGTATTCGTGAGCTCTACATGGCTGGACCCAACCTTTTCTAGCTCAAATAACTTCCTAGGTTTGTTGGCTTGGCTGTAGAAAGGGTTCAGAGGTTTGTTTTTACGCGCATCGATCCGTGTGAACTTTGTCTAATCATATGCATACTAGACACATTAAGCATTATTTGTCTTATACAATTTTAGGGTTGTTATATTATCCCCATTTAGGAACATTAGTCCCTGAATGACACTACTAACTATTTTGGATAATGCCAAACAGATCATAACATAGTTACTATAAACAATCAAGCAATAGCAACAAAAAATGGAGAGATAAGGAAAGTTATAATTAAGAATAGGGAGTCTACCACAAGAGCGAAAAAGATGGGGGTAGGGATCTTATATCGGTCTCGGCCTCCCAAGTAGAACCTACAACAAGATTACTCGTCCGAAATACCTTCATTGTGGAAATCTCCTTGTTCCTCAGCCGTTTGACCTATTTGTCTAAAGTATCAAGAAGTACCTCCTCACAAGGCAAATTTTCATCAAACTCCAAACCTTCAAAAGGTAGAATTGATGTTGGATCGTCTAGGCACTTCTATAAAATAGAGACATGGAAGACGGGATGAACAGAAGCTAACTCCGCAGACAATGTCTACTCATATGGCCGAACATACCTCAGACTCAACTTCCCCTTCCTACCAAACCTCATCACCCCCTTCATAGGTGATATCTTTAAATAGACCTGGTCACCATCATCAAACTCTAAGCGCCATTTTCTATTATCTGCATAAGACTTCTACCCACTGTAACCAATAGCAAACATGTTCCTAATCACCCTGATATTCTCTAAGGACTCATGAATGATCTATGGACCCAAAAAGGATGACTCTCCAACCTCGAACTACGCAACTGGAGACCTACACCTCCTACCATACAGGGACTGAAACAAATCCATCCCAATGCTAGAGTTATAACTATCATTATACGACAACTCTGTCAAAGGCAGATGGTTATCGCAACTACCATTGAAGCCAATCACACACGCCCTCAGCATCTCCTCCAATGTCTCAATGGTGCGCTATGCCTTCCCATCAGTGTGAGGATGAAAGAAAGTACTAAGTTTGACCTGTGTGCCTAAGCTCTTGTAGAATGATCTCCAGAAATTTGAAGTGAACTAAGCTACTCTATCTGGAATGATAGAGAAAGGAACCCCATGACATCTCACAATCTCATCAATGTAGAGTTTCGTATAATACTAGGCTCTGTAAGTACACTTCACATGGATAAAGTGGGGAGACTTAGTCATCCTGTCCACCATAACCCATATGGAGTCATGCTATCTCCTAATCTTCGGAAGAAAAACCATGAAGTCTATATTAATGGCCTCCCATTTCCAAGTCGGAACCTCAATAATCTGAGTAAGACCGCCAGGCTTAAGATGTTCTGCTTTACCTGTTGACAATTAGGACACTTATCCATAATATGCAATGTCCTTCATGCTATCCCACAAATAGATCTGTTTAAGATCATGATATATCTTGGTGGAACCTTGATGTATGGAATACCTGGAACCATAGGCCTCTGCAATGATCCTGGTCCGCAAATCATGCACATCTGGTACACATAGCCTGTCCTGGTACCTAAGTATTCCGTCATCTCCCAAAGCAAAAGACTCATTCATCTTAACAAACACTGAGTCCTTCAGATCCATCAACACAGGGTAAAGATGTTGACCCCCCTTGACTTCAAATACTAATGATATTAAGAACTAGGATGAACTGAAATACCTCCATTAGTAGAATCAACCAACTGCACACCCATTCTGGGCAGTCTATGTATATATTTCACCTATTTCTTTTTCTCATCCTCAACGTGCGATGTACTTCCCATGCTCATCCTACTCAAAGCATTAATTACAACATTAGTCTTACCCTAGATGCATAACAATAAAAAGTGTAATTCTCACCACATTTAGTCAAAGTTCGCACCGGGGCTGAAGTGAGTCTATCCTTGAGCTCCCGGAAAGTCTTCTCACAAGCCTCCGTCCATTAAAACTTGGCCTTCTTCTTAGTCAAAGTTGTCAGTGCGGCACCAATGGAAGAAAAAACCTCCACGAACCTGCAATAATAACCAGCCAATCCCAAGAAGTAACTAATGTCTGTGGGAGTAAGAGGTTTTGGCTAGTTCTTAACATCTTCAGTCTTCCTGGGATATACCTCCACACCTTTGTCGAACACAACATGACCCAGGAAGGTCACCGATCTAAGCAAGAATTCACACTTGCTGGATTTGGCATACAAATGATGTTGTGTAAGTACCTACAAGGTTCGTAGAAAATGTTTTTCATGCTCTTCCTTGGTCTTAGAGTAGATGAGAATGTAATCAATAAATACTATGACGAAGGAGTTAAGGTATTCATGGAAGACTCTGTTCATGAGATCCATAAATGCAATATGTGCAGTTGTGAGACCAAAAGACATAACTAAAAACTCATAATGACCATAATAGGTACGAAAAGATGTCTTTGGAACTTCTTCATCCCTAACCCTAAGCTGATGGTACCCTGAAAGAAGATCAATCTTGGAGAAGAAACTAGAGCCTTGGAGTTGGTCGAACAAGTCATCTATTCTGGGAAGTGGATACTTATTCTTTATAGTAACTTTGTTTACCTACCAATAATCGATACACATTCTAAGGGTTCAATCATTCTTTTTCACAGAGAACACTAGAGCGTCCCAAGGGGATATGCTCGGCTGTATGAAACCCTTGTCAGTGAGATCTTTTAACTGCAGCTTCAACTCTTTGAGTTCAGCTGGGGCCATTCTTAAAAGAGGAATGGAAATTTGTTTAGTACTGGGTTCTAAGTCAATAACAAAGTCCATCTCTCGAGGAGAAGGAACTAGAGACAAATCATCAAGAAATACATCTTCGAACTCATTCACTACAGGCACTGAGTCCATGAAAGGAATGTGATGATCTAAATCATTAAAACTCACAAGATAACATAATAACCCATTGTACATCATTTTATTGGCTTTAAGATTCTAAATCAAAAGATTAGGACGACTCGAGTTGTATTCTCCAAAATTAGGCCTTCTTCATTCGGGAGACGATGCAAGCATAATAACTATGAATCTAGTCCATTCCAAGAATAACATCAAAATCATATCTTGGTAACTCAAGCAAGTCTGCTTCCATATCCTTCCCACATACAACTATTGGGAAATCTTTGTATACTCTAGCAGTTCGTACATTTTCTCCTAAAGGTGTACTAACAACTATAGGATCATGCAGAATATCAGACAATATCTCAAAAGTGAGAGCAAGCAAAAGAGTTACAAAGGAAAGCGTAGACCCTGGATCACGTAAAGCATAAATAGAAGTTGAGAATAATTGCAGCATACCTGTGACCACATCACCTGACTTCTCTTGCTCTTCCCTGCCTTTCAGGGCATAGAACATGTTCCTCTTAGGAGGCTCAGCTGCTGTTACATACTGAGGATTAAACCTAGGCTAATCATTACTTTCATCCTTATCTCTGTCTGTGGGCAGTCTCTAATCATGTGTCCACTCTTACCACACACGAACTAGGCATTAGTGCCTTGTTTTCACTCTTTACTGTGACCACGACCACGCTTAACACATTTCTTTCTGGGACGCTGCATCTCACCTCCATTGCCCTTCCTTGGCTCGGGTCATCCTTCTCTAGGTGTTGTACTCCTCTTAGAGTTAGAGTTCGCTGAACTCTGTTTCCCCTTTTTAAGCTAGGCTGCTCAAGGATGCCAAAATTGTTTTTGTGGCCTCCACTGATGGGACCTGCCTAATCTTGAGGCTTAGGCCTCCTAGCATCACGAATGCCCCACTTTTTGCTGTTGTCCTCTACATGTTGAAAATGCACCATCAACCTGGAGAGGTCCAAATTATAGTGGAGCATCACAAACCGACACTACTCCTCCAGATCTCCGTTGATTCCTATCAGGAACCTGCTCATCTCATCCATGCAGTTACATACACGGGAAGTAGCATACCTGGATAGCTTAACAAACTTCAGGGAATAATTCCTGACTGTCATGGATCCCTGCTTATGGTTGATAAACTCCTCAACCTTGGCCTTCCTCATCTTTCTGAGAAAGAATCTCTCTAGAAAGGCTGTCTTAGACAGCTCACGAGTGATCGAAACTCCACCCAAAACTCGGCTCTCTTGCCATATCTTGAACAAAGTCTGTGCAACATCCTTTATTTGATAGGAAGACAACTTTTCTTTCTTAGTATCTGTGGCCCCAAAATCCACCAAGATCTTACTCACCTCATCCACAAAGTCCTGAGGATCCTCCGAACTCTTAGACCCTGTGAATATAGGAGGATTCAACCTTGTAAAAACTCTCAACCTGTCAGCCATTCTGCGAACATGTGGGTTCTCCCTCTGAAAATTCTTTTGGTTGACCTTTCAGTCATTGCCTAGGCCTTCATAGTGATTGTCTGTTCCATCTGGTCCAGAGATGACCGCACTTCATCATCAGTCAACCCTGCAGTATCAACCGGCATAGCCGCTCCTTCAGGTGGAGCCTGGGGTGGAACCTATTTGCCCCCAGCAGTTGCTCCTCCTCTCCTTTGAACAATTGTTCTCCTAGTATTAATTCTTTGAAAATAACAAGGATTGATGTTAAACACGCTCATAACACCTAGAAAATCAGATATTAAGAAAGAAACGATAAGACATAGAAACTAATCAATGTGGTTGATGTGGACTTATTCTCCTCGGAATTTAACCTAGTGCTCTGATACAAATTTTGTCACGGCCGGAGTTTAGAACTCAAACTAGACCGGCATCGATGAGTTTTCAGAGGTCGCAGACAAGCCTACTTACGTCATTCTTACTTCGTCTAGGTAAATTTTAGAAGAAAAACTGAAACTTTTTATTTCTTAACATATATACTAATCATTCTATACGATTCATAATATTTCACCTTCAACCATCTAACATTAAGATCATCACATTGAAGAAAGAGTTTAATATAGCGCTAAATGTATGCTTGCCAAAATTTCACCAATACAATGTCTGAACGATACAGAAAGAAACGCTAGTGGAACATACTCCACTAGATCAATCCTATAGCTAATCTAGAATATAATGGGCAAGCATCCTTGAAAGCATGAGGGACTACCATGTCCGGATGAATGCTCCACGTCCGAATAGTTTCAGCATCAACCTTACCTATAGCGTCCATCTGTGCCTACACCTAAAATTGTAGAGTTGTATAGGATAAGTACACATTTGACCTGAGTATAAGTATATGAAATTGCACACCAAGGACATGCATGAGTAACATTATCTCTTTCCAAACCACATGATTATTGAAAGTCAAGTCACTGGACTCGCCAAATTAGGATTAGGAATGCTTGTGAGCTTTCCAAATTTAAATTATGAAAGTGAGTTAACTTTCCAAATTTAGATTACGAAAGTCATTCTATGAGAGTAACATGTATCATCATACTTATCATATTGCACACATCACATAACATCTAACACAAAGCACTTTTTTTATTATTAATTTTTTTTTGTACTTTACTTTTCGGCCAGCATACCCGAGATCGAATCCCCTTCAACCCCATTTCCCTTTTTGCGATTTTAAGATATTATACAAGTGAGGTCGCGAGTTAGAATCCTGGTCACCTCACCTCCTTTTTCACTCAATCAAATTTCAAGATTTGTTCATCTACATTTAGACTAAACTAAAAATGTATGTTGCTGGAAATTTGGTCACCTTTCAGCTCACTTTCATCAATATTTTTCACTTGAACGCATAGAGTAATTCATAGACCATTAAACACGTTTTGGGGTCCATTTTTTATAGATTCGTTTAGACAAGAGATTGTTACTTAAATAATCCACATTCAATCGTTTATGAACATAACAATTCACATAGGTTTATGCACGTAAAATAACAACCATAGTGTTACACATCTTGGAGACTCATGTCGAGACCCTAGTCATAGTCACATTCTTGCACCCACATGCACATAGTTGCGAAAACAAATAGGTTGTCATTCATATTATTTCAAATACGCAAACATAAACATATTCATAATGAAAACACAACATACACCTATTTCTACTTGCAATCACACCCAACCTAAGAATCATTGGGAGTTAGTACAGGGACATGAAATGGGGAACAACCCTAGTTTTAAGACTGAACAATCTAAACCTTAAGGGGTCTCTTGGGAAAGGTACCGTGAAAGAAAATAAATCATACCTTTTTTATGTTAAACCCTAGTCTTGATGGCCAAAAAAATCCCCCAAGATAATGTCCAAATCCCCTCAATGTCAACACCACTCGATGGACAACCTCCCTTTGCCTAACGCCTGATTAACGTTTGTTTTCTTGTGATTTCGTGTGAGTTCTTCAAGTGTGAAGAACTTGTTTTATTTTTATGTTCATGAAAGTTACCTTGGAAGAGAGATACTGTGAATGAGAGTGATAGAGACGTGAGAGATAAAGATGAGGTGGGAGAGAAGAGTTTTCTTCGGCTTACGAGTCTTGTTTAGGACTTAGTCAAATAAGGTTTTATTTAATTAATAAAAATATGATTTCCTTTTATGTTAAATGATATAATAAATAATTATTATAAATTAATTTCATTAATTTACCAACTTAAATTAAAGACAAATTTAACTCATTGCTCACCTAGGTTTGAACCCTGGTGAAGCATGGCTTCACTTCAAGGACCAATTTTTGGTCCTCTCTTCCTAAAATACCTGTCCATCTTTTTTATTAAATAACTAATTATATATGTTGGGTAATTAGTATACTATCCTTACACTTGAAAAATACCATTTTACCCCTAGACCTTCCAAACCTCAGGTTTTCCCTTTTTAAGTCTGATAAAGACTCATACAAGTAAATCTTCGTATGCGATAGTACTACATTGCTGGAACCAACCTTTTCTAGCTCAACTAACTCCCCAAGTTTGTTGGATTAGCCGTTTGAAGGGTTCAGAGGTGTGGTTCTATGCGCATCTATCCATGTGAACCCGGTCTTATAGTAATTTTTAAAGACACATGAAGCATTACTTATCTTATACATTTTTAGCGTTGTTACAGATTACTCCCTAAAGTTCGTAAAACTTTTCAGGTATGACACTTCCCTTGTATCTAACAGCAGGGAAAAGTGAGTATATTCTTGACAGAGATTGCTTAGGATCTCAAGGAGTAGTGTAGGGCAGCTATGTTGCATGACAACATGTACCTTTCTAGGCTTATTGTCCATGTCAATCATGTGGAAGAAAACAGGAAGAGGAAGTACACTAGGGATAGGAACTTCTCAAGGCAAGCTGAGAAGAATTTTTGATGGAAGAGTAATACTAAAATAAAAGATAATCCCTAGTGTAAGAAGGGACTCTCCCGCCATGGAAAGTCAAGTTCATCCAAGGTTCGCTATGATAGGGATTCCGAGCCCAGAGTAAAAAGGAACAATAAAGGAGATACACCTCAGGAGAGGTCACTATGTAGGAAGGGTGGAAAACTGCACGGAGGAGAGCATATGATGGGCTCTTATGTTTTTTTACAATTTTTGGCAATCTGAGTCACATGATGAAGTATTATCCGAAGAGGAGAGGTCAAGAAAAAGGGAAGGAGAAAGTTCAGCCTAATAGTCCAAGTGAAGAGGCTCTAGGGAGGAAATGATTCTTCACACTCAATTCTAGGGGTACAAGGAAGGCACTTCTGGTGGTGTCTCGCGTGCGTAGCCTTAATTAGTCTTTCATGTATTTGTCTGTCTTTGGTTTTTTTATGCACTAGTATGAAGTTAATATATTTAAGTCATCATGTTGGTTGCTGATTTATGTGACTTATATGTTTACTTGTGAAGTATTCTTGGATGAGACTAGTTTAGGAAATAGTCTATTAATGTGAAGCTGCTAGTAGGTTTCAAAGATATACACCACCATGATACTAGGAATTAGATATTCACCAATGAAAAGTATCAAAGATATACACCACCATGATACTAGGAATTAGATATGCACCAATGAAAAGTATTGAATTGCTTAAGTATGGATATGTTCTATGGATAACTAGCTTGTTGCTAGTATAGAGTAGTGTCATTCGGGAAAGAATGTTCCTAGGGAGGGGATAATGTAACAACCCAAAAATGACTATGCGAAGTAATTCCTAAACATACCTAGAATTCCTAGATTAGACCTTGTTCACAGTCTTGATGTGCGTGGAACCAAACCTCAGAACCTATGCACCAACAAAGCCAAAAAACATGGTGAGTTATTTGAGCTAGGCAGGGTTGGTGCTAGCCATGTTGGGTACCCGAATACTAGGATTCACCCGGATAAGTCTTAACCAGACATAAAGGGTTAGTCCTAGGTTTTAAGGGTTCTAGGGGTATAAAGGTAATTTTGGGGCTAGGGGTAGCATGGTAATTACTCAAGGCTGATATTTAATAAATAAAATAAGGTATTAATTAGTCAAAATGGGTCAAATCTCAGTGGTCAAACTAAGTTTGACCGGACCTCCACAACTCAGGTTCTAGCCGAGTTGGAAGCATAATGAGGCGCGAATGAAAGAATTGAAAATAAGAGAATATAGGGAGGGGCATTATAATAACTTAATGTATAATTGTAATTTGATTTTTTAGAATTAAAATTGTGTTGAATAAGTCAATAACAATTCCCACAAAAAGGACCGCACAACTCCACAAGGAGTGTGCTTCTTGCCCACTCTTAATTCTTTAATTTACTCCAAACAAAAATTTTCAGCCTTATCCAACACATAAAAACTAGAATATACACGTAAAATTCACTATTCTAAAAGTGTTCTTATCTGCATCCATCAAAAAACAAAAGGAAGAGTTCGTACGCCTAAGTGTTTTAAATAAAGAACTTCACTTGTAAACAAGAATCAAAGGTCGGAAGAACGGTTTGTGTGTGGGTTGGGGCATGTGGTTGTGGCTGCCTGTCAAGGATGAAAAGGTATGGATTTTTTTCTCCATTGGTATCTTTCTCAATACTTAGTTAAGGTTCACTTTAAATCCAATCAAAAAACTAAGGTTGTCCCCGTTGTATGCCCCCGTCGTTAGATCCTATGAATGAATTGTTGTATCAGTTGGTAAAAATTATGGTAGATGATTTTAGGAATAATTGTGATTGTGTGAAATGTGTGTATTTCATACTATTTTTTTAATTATTAAGTACGTCCGAATATTGAATGTAATATGTGAACCAACTTGCTTCTTTTCCGTAATTTGTATTGTGATGGTTCACTTGAAGAAAATGGTAAATGATCTGATATAAAGTGCTTTGTGTTTAACATGCAAAAAGGATTTGTGTTGTTCATTATAATAAAGTGAAATTAAGGTCCTTAATGAAATTTTTAAAAGTATATGTAAA